GGAGTCCATGGAGGGATGGACACTGGGAAGAGGTAACTATGGGGAGGAAGTGGGAGGGGAGCTGTTGCATTGTGGTAAACTGTGGTCAATGACATCAGACAAAGTATTGTGAACTGCTGTATGGAAAATGAATTTGCTCTGTAAATTTTCACCCTAATTACAATAAAAAAAAGAGAGAGAGAGATTCACAGAAATGGTGTTTGAGCTGGATTTGGAAGGATTTCTTTATTCAGTAGTTACTGCTTGCCTATTATATACTGGCTCCTTGATGCTGAATATATAATGAAAAGTGTTTTGACAGAGACAGGGAATTGGAGTGAGGTGGGTGGTAGGATAGGCATTTCAGTAATAGGGTCACCTCAAGCTAAGACATAAAAATGCAGGTTACGAAATAGAGCTTGCTAAGTTAACTGACCCAATGCTGTTTGAAAAGTCACTGAATGTGAAAAAACTCAATACTGTTATTAATGATGGCAGTTAATGTTCATTCACTCTTTCTATGTGGTAGATATTATGGTAAGTGATTTATATAAAGCCTTTTATTTTCTCTTGATATCAACCCTATGTATTGGGTATTATTATTACTAGCCATGTTTTAGAGATGAGGAAATTTGAGTTTTTGAGAAAATAAGTAGCATTACCTATAATCAGGCAGTTAGAAAGCCCTGGAGCCAGGATTCAAACCAAGACTGTCTGACGAAGGAGTCTCTATCTTATTCACCACAATAAAATAGCATGTAATAAATTATGAAATTTAGAAAATCAATAAAATGCTTTCCTTGGGATTTTAAAACACATTGATATTGTTTTACAGATTTAGTTGGCATGGATCTGGGCAAAAAAGTCAGCATCCCCAGAGACATCATGCTGGAAGAATTATCCCATCTCAGTAACCGTGGTGCCAGACTATTTAAGATGCGTCAAAGAAGATCCGACAAATACACATTTGAAAACTTCCAGTATGAATCTAAAGCACAAAGGAACGTATGTATAACTTGACCATGAGGTATCTAAACGAATGGGCCGCATTTCTATGTGTATATGTTGTACTAGTGTCCCAAAGAAGTCCTTTACATATTTTCTTTTATCTGGTTCTGTTAGATAATTTTTTTTATGATAGTGAATAGTTAAAGTGAGCAAACAAAAGAAGTATTACATATCAGTATCCTTTTAGTTCATATGTTGTTGTTGTTGTTGTTATGTGCCGCGGAGTTGAACCTGCCTCATAGTGTCCCCTCCTGGGGTTTCCGAGGCAGTATCACTACCGATGTAGATTACTCAACATTCCTTAGGTGGAGTGGCTGGTGGGTTTGAAACGCCAGCCTTCTGATTAGCAGTCAAGTGCCTTAGGCACTCCGCTACCAGAGCTCCTGTTAGTTCATATAGGGACATGGTAAACTCTTAGATTTGGCACAGAAGAACTGGTCTGTCCTGCTAAAAGGAGGGAGAGGAGTGAAGAGAACTGGTACAGAATGTTTCCATGGTCTTATCGCCACTGGCTAAATGTTTGGGATGGAAACATTTCCAAAGCACACACAGCTCCTCAAAGTAAGTGCAAGTATTTCATTGGCTGAATAGATCCTGGCACTGCAACAAGCCTGGGAGGCTATAGACACTGTTTGACCTCCTCACAAAGCATTTATTCACCATTAACTACAAAGCCAGTGTGAACTTAACTCTTTGGACAAATGTTTTCCTCAACTGAAAGCCAATAAACAAACAAATGCATAGATTACATTATACACATTGTATTCATATTGTATTCATTTAAACTATCTTCTACCCAGATCTTAGAATAACAAGTTCACAATAGAATAGCAACTGAGCTTTGAAAAATGGCTTTAAAAATCACATACAAATATGGGGCATAGTTACGGATATTACTTAGACAAAACACCTCAAAGGATTGGTATACTGAGTTTGAAGGCTTGGGACCATAGTCTTATGGGACAATTCAGTGAATAGGCATAACAGCTCGTAAAGATAATGTTCTACATGCTAATTTGGTGACTAGAAGCTGGGGTCTTAAAAACGTGGCAGCAGCCATCTAAAATACAGCTATTTGTCTCTACTCATCTGGAACAAAAGAGAAATGAAGGAAACCAAAGACTCAAAGAAAAAACTAGTCCCCAGGACTAATAGCCCACATGAACTAGTTGGTACCCAACTACCACTACCAACCTTCTGACCAGGAAAACAATAGAAGGTCCTGAATAGGAGGAAGAAAAATGTAGATCAAAACTCAAATTTCTATAAAAAGACCAGGCTTACTGTACTGATAGAGACTAGAAGAATCCTTGAGACTATTGCCTAAATTAGATACCCTTTGAACTTGGAACTGAAGCTACTCCCAGTGGTCACCTTTCATCCAAATAACAGTTTGGCTTATAAAATAAACAGTATCACTTATGGATACTGTGCTTCCTTAAATAATCAACCATATGAAACTAAGTGGTCAACATTTACACTAAAACAAAGATGAGAAGCTAAGGAGGGGCAGGGAAGCTAGATTAATGAAAACAGAACAAAAAGAATGGAAATAATGAGATTGTTGACACATTGTGAAAAATGTAACCAGTGTAACAGAATGAGTTGTATAAAAATTGTTAAATGGGCATCTAATTTACTATGTAAACTTTCACCTAAAACACAACAAAACCTTTTTTTGAAAAAATCAAGTACAAGTCACAAAGAATCAAAAAGAAATAATGCAGTGGTCCTAAACCTAAAGAGATAGCAGAGACTGCAAGATTTGTTTACTGAGGGATTCTTCCTATGGGTTATGACAAGTCTGTTAGTTCACTGATGAATTTAGACCTGAATACTTACCAGCTGTCATTGCTAATAAGCTGTTTTCAATGGACAATTAATTTGTTTCTAGAAAACAGACTAGTTTCACTGAGCTCTTTTACCATAGTTACTAAAACATATTATGGAAACTAATATTCACACCCACAATACCAAAATTGTATTTATTTCCAAAATTTCAAATTCCCTTGTTATTTTTATGTTTCTGGCTAACAGTAAGGTTTTTTTTTTTTTTTTTTTTTTGCACATTAGTGAGCATCCTTCAACATCCATGGATTAAATCTAGTCATAATTTTCAATTTGGTTAGACATAAAATCTTAATCTACTACAGTATTTGCAATTGTGAGAGATGGTTTTTCATTTGAAGTCATGAATAAACATAATGTTATGTTATCCTATAATTAAACGCAGAGTCCTCTGCAGAAAAAGTCTATGGCTAATACAAGAAAAGCCTAAAATAATCCCTACCTCATCTGATGAAGTCTGGTTATGTAATCAAATACTTTCAATGACAGCAACAAAGAAGAGTTAAATAAGCTGGCTTAAGGAATTCTTTGAAAAGTCATCTACAAGTCTGGACATCTGAAACAAATGAATAAGCCAGTTTTCATAGCTTCCATTTACATTTGATAGTCTCTAAGAGTAATGTTTTAATCACAGTTCTGGGGGGAAGGTACAATGAGACTTAAAATATTCTCATGAACATGTTGCCAGTATTTCAAGTTATTGTCAATAATCTTATATACTCATGGTTGAATGTTCTAGTTATACATAAAGTCTATAAGTATACATCTTCACAATTTTTCAGTGGTCCTAAAAGTTTAACCTGTTGCCGTGCAGTCAATTTTGACCCATAGCGACCCTATGACACAAAGTAAAACTTCTTCATAGGGTTTCCAAAACTGTAGCATTTAGGGAAGCAGACTGTCACATCTTCTTCCCACAGAGCGGCTGGTGAGCTCAAACCATCAACCTTTAGATTAGCAGCCAAGCACTTAACCACTGTACCACCAGGGCTAAATCTAAAAGATTGGGCCCTGAGTAAATAAAGTCATGAAGAAGAGGTAGATTGAAATAAACATTTTGTTGTTGTTGTTAGTTGCCATTGAATTGATTCTGACCTGTGTATGCGAAGTAGAACTGCTCCACAGGGTTTTCAAGGCTGTGTGACCTTTCCGAAGCAGATCATCAGGTCTGTCTTCCTAGGTGTCGCTGAGTGGGTTTGAACTACTAATGATTTGGCTAGTAGTCAAGTGCTTACTTATTTGCTTAACCAAAGGCCTCTTAAATAAACAAATAAATGTTCATAAATAACTCAGAACAATACACAATAACATGTGCAATGAAGTCACATTTCATGGACTTACATAGCATATCCTAAAGCCCGATAAAACTCTCACATCTTTAGAAATGAGGAAAGTGGTATTTAAGGAAACATGCTTATTTGACTTAAGGAACCATAATTATGAAGACTGAAACCTAGCTCTCAGAATTGTAGAGTTCTTGGCACTGATACCTATGACAGTGTAATTGAAGGAAACTCTGGCCTGGGAACAAGTGTTTGGTTCTGGTTCTCTCACTGACCATGTGATTTGGAACCAATTTCTTTGCCTTTTTGGACCTGTTTTTGCATTTATATATTAAGATTATGGCCTCAAACACATTCTAAGGTACCTTCCAGCTCTAACCATATATGTATTTTCTAATCTTAATTCTAAAGATTTCCTGAGCAAGATATCATCTCACCCCAGTACTAATAGCAAAGTTAAAAAAAAAAAAAAAAAAAACAGAAAGCAACAACAACAACAAAAATGCTGGCTAATGTGTGGAGAGAGTAGAACCCTTATACACTGCTGGTGGGATGGTAAAAGGACGAAACTGCTGAGAAAAACAGTGTGGCAATTCCTTTAAAGTCTGGAAATAAAAATACTATATGATCTAGCAATCCTACTACTAGATATATGTCCCAAAGAAATAACAGCTGTGACATGAACTGATATATACACACCCATGTTTGTCACAGCACTATTCACAATAGTAAAAAGATGGAAGCAACCTAAATGCCCATCAACAGAGGAATGGATTAACAAATTATGATACATACGCACAATGGAATACTATACAATGTTAAAGAAGAATGATGAATCTGCAAATTCTCTCATAATATGGATGAACTTAGAGGTCATTATACTGAGTGAAGTGAATCACAAAAAGGATAAATATTGTATCGAGACCACTATTGTATAAAAGTTAAGAAAAGGGTTTCACAGAAAAAAGAAAGAAATATTCTTTGATGGCTACCAGAGGTGGGTGGGGGAAGGGAAGGTAAACCACTAGCTAGAGAGTTGTTGTTGTTATTATGTGCCATCGAGTCAGACCCAACTTATAGCGACCCCTCCTTGGGTTTCCGAGGCAGTATCACTACGGAAGTAGATTGCCCCATCTTCCTTCTGAGGAGTGAGACCCATATTAGCTTGGAAGAAGGAAAATTAATTAATTTTAAAATTGGGTATCTTGTCACCTCTCTCCTGTGCTTTTTGATGGGTGAGCTACCTTTATCCTTGCTTGCACTGTTGTTGTTGTTGTTGTTATGTGCCGTCGAGTCAGCCCTGACTCATAGCGACCCCTCCTTGGGTTTCCGAGGCAGTATCACTACGGAAGTAGGATTGCCCAACCTTCCTTCCGAGGAGTGGCTGGTGGGTTTGAACCATCAGCCTTCTGGTTAGCAGTCAAGTGCCTTAGCCACTATGCTACCAGAGCTCCCTGGAAAGAAGGCTAGCAAGAGTTTCTGAGCCAGCTTTCTTCCCCTTCTGAGCACAAAGAAGAGAAAGGAAGCTTCTCTCCCTGTCTCACTGGCCTGGAGTGAATTACATTTTTATCTTGAACTAAGAAGAAATTCTGGCTGGGCATAGAATCAAGCTTCCTGGCTAGAGTGTGAGCCACATGCCTGCCTCTAGAGCTGGGTATAGTTGGTTCCTCAAGCATGGGGCTGCTCCTGGGAGATGTGGATACTTCAACAAAAAGCAAAAAAAAAAAGAGAGAGAGAGAAAAGGATTATGTTTATAAATCATTGAGGAAGATAGTGAACCACACTACATGATGATGCATTTACCATGTCTACGCACTAGCTTGCAATTTGGACCATTCCTAATATGATAGGAATTTTAATAATATT